CCAACTAAAAAAAAAAATGCCATGGGTCCATTTTATTTAGATTTACAACTGGATAATTTTCACTGAAAAAAACTATATCCAAGAAACAACAAATGCAACAGAAAAAGCAAACAAGATGGTAAAATGACAGAAATATAGCAGAGATCTACAGGTAAGTAAGTATGTTGAGCTCAGAGGAAAAGGGCTCTAATCCCTAGACCCTAAAGGGCTCTAATCCACTAATCCCATTACATCATTCAAAAGTAAATGGGAAAACTTCTAAGAACTGCTCTTTGCAGAAATGAAATCTGAAGAGAAGAAACTCTTCTTAGGTATTTCTGGGTGTTGAATGGTAATTTGAAATTACCATAATATCCATTATTAGTTTTTTGTGAGGATTCCTTAAAAAATGAACAGATACAAACTAGTTTACAAAACCCTTAACCTAGCACTGTCACTTCTCAACACAGCACTTGCTTTTGGCCTGCCTGGAGCTTCCTTACACAGGAAATATTCCTTTCCCTAGCCCAAAATAAAAACGCATGCAGAGATGGATTCATTTAAAACAGCCATTCCTTTTTAAATTCCCACAATAAATTCACTCCAGGACAATGTAACATACAGGTAAGCCCCCAGCGCGATGGCTCATTTTTCTAGGTGGTTTATTTAGCACGAATGGTTATAACTGTTAGAAAGGTTAAAATCCACTACTTTGGCTGAGATCATGCAAAATTCCACCCAGAAAACAATTTGTTTGTGGAGGCTGAAGTCAGCTGAAAAGCAAAGGGGGATTAGAAGAAAAGTTAAATTCAACCTGAACTAAAGCAGGTGTTACTAGCACCTGCTACAGTGTTATAATCTGTGCAGTGGTATAAATAGACCATACTTTAGTGGCTAGACACTTGGGAGGCACACAAGGTAAGAGGGAAAGGTGTATTGCTGGTCAACAGCCTATCACTTAACTAATTTAGGCCCTGTGAAACAACCCAATCATTACTTGCTAAATGTAGTAGCTACTTGCAGTAGTCAAGTCATCCAAGGCACAGATGTGTTAAATCATTGAAATCTCATCCTCTGAAACAGCAATTTAAATATGCTTAAAATGACATGGTGAAAAACCCTAGGACATGCTTAATATGAGGTCATTGTTATATACAGGCTTAAAGTTTTAAAATAGGTATTTTAACAGACCATTTTAATACGATTAATATTTTAATTCATATCATTTTTTTCTTGTCTACAGACAGTTGAGCTTGGCTTCCCTGATGCTTTGCAATATACAACTGAGATGTTACAGGTTGTGAGCTTCCTCAATTTTTTATGGGAAACCAACATAACAGGAAGACTTGATTTCAAAGTCACTTTGAACTAATATTTCTGGATACATTTATTTTATAAATAAATAAAAAAAGAAAAATAATCATTCTGTGACTGGATTTAGAATGTTAATAAATCTCAAAAAATACATCCTCAAATTATTTCATATTTAAGGTTTTAAGTTTTTCTTCATAGAATTTTGTGTTATTTGATTGTAAGCGCTAATATGATTGCAGCCAGACATTTTCAATACACAGTGTATCCTTTCTGAAGTTTGAAAAATAATCCCTAGTGGTTGATTTTTGTTTATGTAGAATAATTAACTTTTCTGAATATGTCTCAAACAAGACAGCTTCAAATCAAAATTACAATATTGACAGAAGAACCGCTGGCATAGTCCTCACAGCTTACAGAAATTCTAACCATGCTGTAAAATGTAGGTAGAATATTTATATAGGGAAAAAAGAATTAAAAACTAGCTGCATCTAAGTTATACTTACATCTCTAAATTACAGCATATTTAGCTAAAATTAGTACCTTTCTAGATTCTGGCATACTTAAAAGATTTTACTACTAGTATTAGCAACACTGAAGCAAACAGTGTAATATTTTCAACAGGTTTGGGTTTTTTTTTTTTTAAATTCCTTATGGCTCCTCACTTCAGATCTTCAGGATCTTTATATAACTTTGTAAAAAAAAAATAAAAATCCAGAAGCTTTGTATTGTTATTTTATATTTAACCAAATTTAAAAGATGCAACTGAGAGCTCAGAAGAATATACTGCTTCAGGTAACTAATAACCTTCTTTCCTGATGCTGGCATGGATAAACGTCATCACAAATGTAACTGTTGAAATTTCTGGTTGTTAACACCTTCTTCAAACTCTTCCAGATGATGTTGTGAGCTAAAATCTGCTTTTAAACCTAGCAGATCATTAACCATATGACTAACAAACCCAACCACTTACTGTAAGTACTGTTAAAACACAAGCAGATTTACAGGTAGAAAGGACACTTCAAACTTACAATTCACATGACCAGTAAGAGCCAAATATAGAAGAAAAGGATTTCCAAATTCAGTAACTACTCACGTGGATGCCCAGCCCATTAAAGGGTTCTCCCAGCGCTCTCTGTTATCAAATTCCATCTTCCATTTCTTTGTATTGTTAACTCCTGCCTGCATTGCATTACGTGCTGGAACAAAAATATGAACTTTTCTGGTTTTGATGTGCTCATCGGGAACACCAGTTAAAGTAGTGATATCCTATGAAAAACACAATGGAACTTGTTAAAAAGGGTTCATGTAAAAGGCTTGTAAAATAATACCATTCATGCTTTTTACAGAATTTCATGCTTTATTTTTATTTTTTAAATTACAAAAAAAAATAATTGCAGAGAAGTATGTTATGTGTCTAGTTGTACAAAAGTGAAGCTGATACATGTTGGGGCTGCTATCATCCTGCTTCCCCCGGCTGAATTTGATTTTGCATGGATCAGTCACCTGAACCTGCTCATCTCCCAGCTACACAACTGCTAGTGCCAGAGGAGGGACAGGATATTCCCTCCCCTCCTCTGACCACAGGATTGCTCCCAACTTGCACCAGCTAAAGCAAATGTGGAAATGTATAAACTCTTCTTTCTCTCTTAAAGAAAATATCAGAGCACAGACTGAAACATTGACAAACCCCGAAATTTTAGATTACCATTAGGAGTCTAAACTTCGTATGAACAGGACTATTCACCAAAATCTTAGCCAGCCAACTAGGTGCTGCCCTGTAAGCGCTTTCACTTGGGTTTAAGTCTGTATATAATTAAGAGGCACCAACATTCATGCTGACTCACGAAGCTATGCTTAGCATGAAGGACAAGGCAGGAGGTTATCTTTCGCACAATAATCTATCGTTCGTTTGAGACTCCAGAGCAAGTACTAGAATTCAGCTCTCTTATTTCTCTAACCAGTAGTTATTACATAAAATTGACCTCCTTGTTGTGTTTCAAGCTATGAATATCAGCTTTTCAGAGTCAATTCTTCTGTTGGTGTTCGACATCAAGAGAGGAGCAATTGATATTGGTAACATTCTTCAGTATTTTGGTGAAGGATAAAAGGATTCAGGAGATTCCAACCTCCAAAGAAAAAAAAAAAAAAAAGGCTTGTAACATTGTATACAGTCAGTATTAGCAGGCCCACCTCGACTAAGGCTTGGCTAGTGAGCCCTCGACAAATAAACCTAACAAAGATAAAAATTAAAGGATCACAAAACCAGCCTAAAAATATTAACTGACTTTAACAAAGAATAAGATAGAGAAAAACCTCACAAGAATTGCTGTAAAAAATTACTCTAGCAGCATCTGATATAATCAAAGTGAACTTTCTCGCTAAAAACTAAACAGTAATTACATAAAATTAACTTGTCAGTTCACCCTAGTAAGAGTGAAGTCAAACATCAAATCCATCTCTAAGGATACTAAACTACTCCTGTTCCTTACATACTTAAAAGGCCAGTGGGAGCTCCTTGGTCTCCCTCCTTGCCCTCCCCTCCCCTCCTCTCTCCAGGAACAAATAGTAAAGTGGTAAAAGTCCAAAAAAGTGCAGTAAAACTTTGGGCATATTGAACTCATCTCGCCAGTACTGCTGTGACTGGAATTAAAAGGCAAACAAGTTTAAATAAAACACTGTGGCTTTCCATGTCTGTAGCTACTAACTTTATGGGATTTTGTTTTGTGGCAAACTTAAAAGCTCTTGATGCTGCCACCAGATCATCCTTCGAAATGAGGCAAGTCTCATTTTTCATTTTACTTCAGAAAATAAATTTTGGGAGATCGGTCCCTCAAAACTACACAAGGGAGCAAGTTTAAAGCATTTGACTTGTCTTTGCAATTAGATCAGCAGGGGAAACAAACAAGCATGCACACTAATTTTCCAACTTCTGACATTTCTACCCAGACTACCAAAAGAAACTGTCAAAATATCTTAACAATTCCATTATAAATGCTTTCACTAGGACCAAGTAATGTTTATTTTTAAGAAGAGTCTAGCAGTGATATGAAAGACTACTAGTCACTGGAATGTTGCAACACACATGTAAAACATCTCCTGACAGACTGGCATTTCTGACTGCTGAAGCTTAAACCACAGTTTTAGAAGGAAATAGCTTAAAGTTTTCTTATTTGAATTGGCGAAGTGCTTTGTTTAACAAAAAGGGTTTTTTACCTGCAGTAAAGTTTGGTGGGGCTTCAATGTTTCTGCTTGTCTCTTTATAGGAATAGGCTACTACATTGGCCTTTATTTCTGTATTTAACACACATGCCTATTGAGAAAATGTAAGAATACTCACAAAAAATTTCGTCTTCCCCTCTGAAATAATTTCCTACATGCAAAAATTCTGGGTTTGTTATCATCAAATACCTCAAAATATGCAAGCTTCAAAATAGCTCAAAAATATGATTTTTTTTTTTACTACTGTTATTCTCAGCAATTCATATGTCCATTATGAATTTTATGCTTCAGATTTAGAGGGTTTTGAATTGTTCCAGAACTATCTGCAATTATTAAAATAAGACACTATGTTAAACAATATTACTGACATATAGAATTTCCTCTTTTGAAGCCTCCACACCAGAGAATCATAAAAGTATTACACATTAATGTATAAAGAACACAATCTAAAAAGAGTATTAAAAACCAGCAAATGCTATACTTACGAAGTAACCATAGTAAAGATATGCCTAGACTTGTTCATCTGGATGAAAATAAAACCAAAACCCCAGACAAACCAGAAGACCCTTCAAGCCATCGTTTTTGTGACACTCAGTTGCTTCCAAATCAAAGTTATTTCACTAATAATATAGGATTCATCCCATAAAAATCTTTTCAAGGTGAAAATTAATATCTGCCTACTTTCCAAAACTAAAATATCCAAGTTATTTTACTAATAATATAGGATTCATCCCATAAAAATCTTTTCAAGGTGAAAATTAATATCTGCCTACTTTCCAAAACTAAAATATCTACATAGTGTGGCTAGCTCTTCACACTTTGATTCATTATAGCTAAAGTTTCCATGCCTTCTGGGAATCTAGCAATTGTTTATTGATATCTTCCCCATTTTAAACCTGGCAATTGAACAAACAGTTGTTAGGACAATGAGTTTCTGGTTTCTGAAGCCCAAGTTGTCCTGACATAAAATCATTGTTTTTACTTGCTGTAGACATGTAAGGTACTGTAGCATAGCTGAGCTGTTGCCAAAGATATGGAATAAAAAGGCTTGGCATCTATCACATACTTGACACCTAAAGAGCACAGAAGCTCTAAAATTCCTATTCCCTGTAGGCGCACTCTTAGTCTAGACAAACTGATTTCTCACACTTTTAAAATGCATTACAACACTCTATTGTGATCATTTCATCCACACAGCTCCAGCTAGTGACAGAAGAACCTGTCCTTTAAGCGACATTTCAATGGGCTAAAGCTCCCGCTCCAAGATGCCATTAAAACAATATAATACTTGAAAAGAACTATGCTGCACTGGGTTGAACTCTTTACTGTGTCTTCAGTGCTTTGTTCTGAGTTCAAGTTCTCATTGAAACTACCTGTGAACCAACTTTCCAAAACAAAGATGTTTCTGACAGCTGGTTTCACATTACTATCTCTTTTTTTTTTTTTTTTAAGTGTTCCTTGCTGAATTTTGCTATATTAGCATATTAAAATATTAGTGAGGTGTTTGATATTCAACATTCTAAATAATAAGGTGACAATATAAAAAACTTGAGATTTGAACTGTATAGATTTGCTTTACTAAAAATTAACAACCCTGCTTCACATTTTTAACACAGGCTACCATCCAAGAGGTACATTCTGACATTCTGTTTTTCTTAACTTTTTTTTTTTTTAATAGCAACCTCTGATTTTTTTTGTAATTCAAAAAAATTAAAATATTAGTTTTGAGGCATTGTGACTCTTGGAATAAGCTAAGAGAGACAAAACACTCATTTTAAACAGCAGAAATCACATCAAATTGCTTACAAATGAAGAGAAGGTTTTGCCTTTATTATAACTTACACTATTTAAGAACACTTACCACGGCGGAAAGCCTGGTAAAGCTGTTCTGTAAAAAATTATAACAAACGATAAATGTGCTCTACAGCAGGGAGAAAAACAGGTTCACAGAGGCAGTGTCAATTAAAGCAGTATTCGGCATGAAGATGACTTTTTAAAGGAAATGAGAATTTCCTTCTTTTAAGTACCGCACTAATAGCACAAATTCCAAAGGGGACAAGGAATGGAACTCTACAATTCAAGGGAA